TGACTGATTGATTGATTGATTGATTGATTGATTGACTGACTGACTGACTGATTGATTGATTGATCAAAACATTTTCCCCTGCCTTTTTCCTTAAAAAAAACCAAGGTGGCTTACAACAATTAAAAGATAATACTTAAAAGAACGCTGAGTACACAAATATTAAAAAAGGATTAAACAAGTATTATATTTAAAACAGTCAATAAAATCAGTACTAAAAACAGATGTAAAAACAACAGAGTACAACAATCCATTTTAAAAAAACGCCCTTTCAGGCTGCCAGTCATTAAGGGAAAGCCTGTCTGAAGAGAAAGGTCTTTGTCTGTTTGTGGAAAGACTGCAAAGATGGGGCCAGGCTGGCCTCCAGTGGGAGGGAGTTCCAGAGTCTGGGAGTCACGACAGAGAAGGCCCTCTCTCATGTCCCCACAGAGTGCCCCTGTGAGGGTGGTAGGACCCAGAGGAAGGCCTCTGCAGGACTGTTCTGATACTCGTGTGCATACTTTGGGGTACACAGTCTCCTTGTTTCATTCCCCACACACACACACATACAAACAAACAAACAAATACACAATGACATGATCTGACAAAGCAAAAATACTGTTTACATGCAAACAGAATTGGGATAGAATGAGTGCATTGCATGAGTAAGATAAGCAGAAAACGTCTCAGGTATGACGTAAGCACAGCGTACTCCTGATTCAGATTGTTTTACTGCAATAACTGTATCCTATTATAAATTAACATTGCATGTTTATATGCATCTCACTGTCTATTCATAATGTCACCAAACACAGGTGCATAGACCCGCTTGTTTCAAATGAGCAGCGCAACGCGACCATTCTTTGTTCAAGAAAGCCTCAGAAATGTCAACATCTGCCTTTTGTTTCTGTCGCTCTCCCTTCTCCGCTCTTGATGCAAAACCCTCCGACTCAGGCCTGAGGTTTCTTTCGAGAGCGATCGGATCGCTGGAGCAGCCAGCATCTGCAGTGCGAGGAGAGCACCGGCGGGGTGGGGAGTGGGGAGGGACCCCCAGGGCAAGAAATCTAGCTCTGGGGATCTAGCTCCCGCTTCCAGCCCTCAAATAAAAACAGAGGCGAGGTGTTTGTCAGCCAAAAGACAGTCTCAGAGAGAAGAGGTGGAAGAGATGAGCAAGCTTTTAGTTCCGGAAGGGTTTCTATGCTGATTCCCTTTGCCGTATTGCCATGGTGATACCTAGCAAGGCCACAGAAGCAGTGGGGGGAAAAAAAGAGGTTGCAATACTAGCCCACCAATAGAGCCTGAGTCCATTTGGAACAGAGAATATGCATGGTTTTGCCCCAATCTAAGCAGGAGAAGATGTTAAAAAAAATTCAGATCAGGTAGAAGGAAACCAGGCAAACATCTGCAAGTGTTCTGGACTGCAGTTCCATGAGATGATCTAAACCCAGTGGAATGCACCTTAGATTCTCGGTTTTCCTCCTCTGTGAATTGGGTCTAATGTTGACCAAAGGAGAGGTGCCACGTGCAATGGAGGTCAGAGAGAGTTCTGGGCTATTTGAGAGCAGTGAGAAGTTACTGGCGAATTTCTGCCTGGCCCAGGTTGCCTCTCATCTTATTCTTCCATATGTTTGCAATGAAAACCCTCCTAGGTGGAGGAAGACTGACAGCTGGTAGTAGCTGCCATTTTGCCGGGACAGAGAGAAGGAAGCCATGCCATTGGAAGAAGCAGGAACTGCCATCCTAGATAAGACCAATGACCGGCTGGGGTCATTTTTTTTCCAGTCCAAAGATGCCTTCTGAGAGATTTCCAAAACGGTGCAGCCTTGTGTCACCCATTCCTGCCATGATTCTTGAACGGGGAACCTGGGCTGTGCCCCGCCATGTCTCATAGCCACAATGAGAAGCTACAGCCCAGTTTCTCTGAAAAACAAACAGATTCCACTCGGATCCATGGAGCACCTTCCTCGCTAAGGGTAGTCTGGACTACCGACCATGAAAAGGGCTGCTTTGCACTGACTCCAGCTGGCATTTAAATACCCTGTAGAGATTTAGCCCTACTGGTGCTCTGTCTTCCTAAGATACTGAGGTTGTGAGTTCCATGGGTGATTGATGCGCTGCACGAAATAAAAATTTCCTGCTGTTGTTATCATTTCAAATATGTAATTTATCACTTTCAATGGATGACTCTCAGGGGTTTGTTTTAATTTATGTTAATGAGGAAGTGAGTCATTCTCTCTGTCCCCACCCTGCCATCTGCCTGGCACTTGCCTATCACCTTTCTGGTTTCCGACCCGCTATAGATCCATGACTAATCAACACAGATATCGCTTTTTTTTTCCTGCAAGCCAGGGGGGTCTGGCGCTAGCAACCCAGACAAAAAAAAAGATCTGATCTTGTTTGGGAAAGAAGGAGTCCAGCAAAGCAGCATCCGGGAAGGAATCGGCGGGGTGCAAAATGAGAGGAGGAGGAGGTGTCAAGTCAACAACAAAAATTGGTGGCTGGCAGAAAGGACGGCTGTGGAGCTGTCCTTCCGGGCATTATTTCAAGAAAGAGAGAGAGAGAAGAGAAATATGGTGGCATGAGAAGGGGAAGCAGGGAGGCCCTGTGACAAGCGACTGACCAACTGGAAGGGATGCAAAAGAGAAAGGGATGGTCACCCATCGAGGCCGCTCCCCAGGCACAAAGAGAGGGCATCTGGGGGGCGGAGGAAGGCAGGGTCCGGGAGCGATGGCGATGGGGAGCCCGAAGGCAGCGCCGGGAGGGCAGGGGCGCTTCGGCAGGAGAAGGTGGGACTGGAGCGAGCGATGGAGACCGATCGAGGGGGGAGGAAGGCGCGGCGCAGGAAGAGTTCGCCAGGCTGGATGGTGGCAGGATCGTGGGGGGATCCACGGGGAAGCAAGCCGGTTTGGCCCTGGGCGCGCCACGGGATCCACGAAAGGAACGAGGCGCGCAGCCAGGCGCTCCGGACCGGTGTCAAGCCGGGGCTGGGCGGCCGGGCTCCCCAGGAGGAAGGGAGGGAGCCGGATCGCCCCGGAACGCGTGTCCCCCACCACCCTCGCCCGCCCGTTACTCACACGTAAGCGTGGTAGATGAACGCCCAGCCCCGGGGCCGCTCGAGCACGTTGTAGAGGAAATTCTGGAGCTTGC